TCGTCTAAAGCGCAATTGGCTAGTAACAATTGACCTCTTGTTCTCTTAATTACCTGCATTTAGCACCTTTGCACTTCTGTCCTCGACATGGATTAGCAGAGCATTTAACCTTCTTGATTCCTTTAGGGCATGTCCTGCAACCTTGAAATAAGTCAAGTTAAATATTTTGTATGAAAGAAGTATAATATGAAAACACATGCTCATAATATTGAATCAACTATATTTTGGAAGTATCTGGGCTTGCTTGACAAATATAAAGGCTTTCTCTCAATTCAGGCCAAGCTGACAAATTTAAATTCAAGATTATACCCCAAAATAGTTAAGCAGGTTTTGACACGCATGTAATTTTGTCCTTCTTTGGCAATAATTTTTAATTGTATTTCGATCAAAGCGTTCATGATATCTCTATAATTATAACTCAAATTTTACTTCAATGTCATCACGTTAAGACTTAAACTCGAAAGATAACGAAACCAAAAAAAAAAAAAAAAAAAAAAATAAGGTTGCGGTTTTATTGTTCTCCGTACATATCACTTCCCCGAATTTTTGCTTACAATGAGCAATTACCGAGAGTCACTAGTAGAATATGCAGTGTTGACGTTTCCAGAGTACCTGAGTACAACCCTGGAGGTTATGGGATTCGCATGGTTAAGAAAAGAGTCAGAAAATATCAAAGGGACATTAAAAAATCATAGATCATAGAACTGACAAGGCCAAGGCAAAAATTAATGACAACGAAACGATAAATAAGTCCACAAAACAATATACAAAAAAAAAACAAAGGATAAACAACACGAACGCAACCATAAATATAGGACTGATCTCAGAACCTGTGATATTTGGATTGGAAATTAGTCTATTCCTGTAGAATCCTTTACATGGACGGGATATCATCTCAATGTATGTTTGGTTATGTTGTTTATTGAGTCTGTCAACTAAGATACGATCCATGAAAACAGATGATTCCTTTGTATAACTTATTCTTATTGGAAACCAATCCATCACATATACAACTATATAACGCATAACATAATATATATATGATTTGTTGTCACATTTAAGTTTAACTTACATCTACCTTTATTCATAGAAATCTTTTTCTGGATACGATGCGTAATAAATTATAAAATTCAAAACAAATTTTCATAGATAAAACATGAATTACTTTTTATAAAGTAAAACAATGTTAGCAGTAGGGGTAATTTCCCGCTGGAAAACCGCCGTGTAATCACCTACTGCCAGTTGGATTTGCAAAATTTAACTTGCACAGAACAAATGAATATTATACTTCGATATTGCAGTCATCAAATTACATTTTCACAGAAATCAGTAGACAGCTATAAATGTTTTACAACATTTTTCAAAATAGAAAATAAAGTGTTAATAATAAACATGATAAACATACCTTCTGTAACAACAAGAAATAGCAAAAGAGAAAAAAATATTACATATTTCAACATCTTAAAACACGTCTTACTCCACTACCGGATTCTGTTCCTACAAGATTTCAGGCAACATGTGCTGTGTTTTAAAACAAAGCAGGTGGTATATTTATTTGTTAAAACTGTAACATATTCATATTTTCTCACAGAAAAACTAATTACTCGATATGAATTAGAAATAAAATGTGCAGAATTGCCGGATTATTAATTTCCAACTAATTTTTCTTTCATTATGCCCATTGAAAAGAACCAATAAATATGCAAAACCAGTGACATTTCAAAACACGAATGCAATTTTATTTCTACAGGTATTATGTATTTCAATTGAATTACACGGTTAAGCAAATTGTTTGTCGTTTCCATATGAATAGTTGAGAAGGATTAAAAGCTTCAAGTATAATACATTCTCTTAAAACATCCCCTGTATGATCAAGCTACAGTTAAAAATTAGTAATAACCTCTCTTTAAAATTTAAGAATAATCTGTCATTCAACTGTTCGAAACAGTCCTAGAACTGGTTGAATCAGTTTAAAGGTAAAATGGTCAAAAACCCTTTCTAAGATAGAACAGTTTTAAATGCCTTCAATGTGATTTAGAACAGGGACAGTAAGCTGGATCTTACATGTGAGTCAAATATTAGATAAACGATATTTTATTATAAAAATAATAAAATTACTAAATCAATGTTTAAGATCTCTCATTTCTCCATGTTTAAAATCAAGGCAAAGTACACGTAATGGCACGCCTTTAGCGGAATTCGGGATAAATAACGTGCGTCGTTAGTAACGCGACTTATCTCCCCTACTCCAAGAAAGGAAAAATAAGCGCAAAACAAAGAAATGACTTCGTGTGGTTTATGATGAGTCCAAACAAGTAAGCCTGTGCTATCTCAAATTTCAAAAAACATGATAAGAATGACTCCAATCATAAATCTGAGGATCATGTTGTTAGCTTTACCTTTGTTGCCGTTTTAGACTCAACACAAAGGGTACAAAATAAAACTTGTATATCATCAGAAAATGACAATGCTTCATAACAAAAATATAACCAAATAAACAAACAAACTTTGGTACCAAATTTGTTAAAATCCAACCAGTAATGCCCCCCCCCCCCCCCTCATATATTTTTTTGAAAAAATGTAGTTTTATATGAAATACTGACAGTGCTAGCAAAAAACTATAGGTGACCAATTACATGATAATATGTGAGGGTGTGTGTTGATCTAAAGGATGTTTGCCTGTTCGTTTTTATATCGATACAAATCTGAATATTAGGTATATGAATGCAATTTAAAGTTTTAGCACATCTGATACTCATTTACTGCAATTGTAACCCCGTAACGGTAAATGTAGAGTAATTCATTTTATATTTGATGTAATGAAAGGTGAAATGAGTTCAGACTCTTTCATTTTTATAGATATTTAAAGACTTTTGTTTTAATTCAAAAACCAATTTCTTTCAATTTTTCTACACTAATGCTGCTTATTTTGCTATCGCCTGTCAAAATACAACAAGTATTATATTAAATCCATCCATTTTCATTATAAGCACAATTCATTAAGCACAACACTAGGTTAACTCGTAAAGCATTACACTAGGTTAACTCGTAAAGCATTACACTATTATAAAACATATCCTTGCATTTACACTAAGTAAGTCGATCTTAAAGTATTCCATTAAGTCTATGTTTTCCTTTCAAATATGCATAAAATATGTGATACGGGAAGATTAACTATAGAAGTCCAACAAGTTCCATTTTGTTAACATTTTATTTGCGAGATATACATTTGAGCTTATTACAGCCTTAAACAAATTCAAAATAAAACGCAGTTTTTCAGCCGTCCATATGGAACAAATAATTGTTCAACATATATTTTCGCTTGTTACTGCAACATCGTTTATCCAGCAAACATTAAATCGTGCTTTGCCATGTAGCTAAAGAAATTAGCAATCAATCGAGACAGAAAATTTGTGAACTAATATTGCTGAGCAATATCTCTAATTTATAGCACCGGAAATGGTGCGGATTAAAAGATACAGAAATATGTAGGTTCATTATTCTGTCAACGGGACAAAATCAAACTCGATCAGTAAGTATTAATATTTGATTTTTAAAAAATAGCACAAAACAACCATTACAAAAAAGGTACGGACAACGTTTTAATTAAGTAAAAATGAAAGTATAATGATGATTGAAATTGACAATTGGAAGCCGACAGTAACTTTCTATCAGCAATTGCAGTGCGTTTATTATGCCGATTTGCAGTTTTTGGGCAGCAAAATTTTCTATTTAAAACTTAGTCAGCTTATTTTATAATCAATTGAACAGAATAAGCTTTTAAATTAGAATCAGTAATAAAGAGCAAAATTTCTGATAAACACTCATGCTTTTCAACAGTGTATTAGAATTACTTATATTTTGAATTGTATAAGGTAGAAGTTGTGCAATGTAGACATGGTAGACATCATTACCGTCAACGAAACTTTATTTTTCCGCTAAAGATTAAACTTCTACAAGAAATAGCTTGAAAACTAGCACGGTTGCTAAGGACTTTCTTTATATCAATCGATTAGTCGTTCAGTTTTAAATCATATTTAAATTTAAAAAATAAAAACTGTGGACTTATAAAAAAAATATCTTGGTTATGTAAAATTTTGTGCCGAATTTCATGATTTTCCCTATGTAGTCTATGTATTTTTGTCATATCATGTTCTTAATTTTAACTGCCCGTATCTAAAAAATTAAAACAGTTAGCTCTGATTTTGTTTTATTTTCTTGTGTATTTTTTAAAGCAGAATCCATACGTGAAATGTGGAGTAGTTAATTACGTACACTTCACCTTAAAATCATTTTTATTTGTTTGTAATAATGCTTAATATTAGATTAAAAAATATGTCAAAGATTTCCGTAATTATTATAAGAAATGCAATTAATATGTTATCTTTGGAAAGACAAGTACACAACTCGAGGAACACTATCAAGGTGTTTCTTACATATACAATATTTGGCTTATACAGTAACCATATATTTTTTTCTTGGGAAGTGATTTTAGACTCGTTATTACCTGACTTTACAATCTTATGTATTGATACATATATGGTTAAGTGTCATCATGTATATTTTGTTATTTTATTTTTGTTTGATGGGTGTTGTGCTTGTCTGTTATACTGTCAAATAGTTTTGTCGATTCCTGTCATCCTTTGTAAAGGGGTTTACTTATATATCTTGTAATCTTGTAGTCTTTTCTTTTGGCTATGTTGATGGCTGTCTTTTGCATACCCCCATACACTTACTTCTTTCATTTTGAGTAGGCTTTTGAAAGAGTAAACAGTTATTTTTGCGAACGATATAATGTGTTTCCAAGTCTCTATTTCACTTGTTCTTTGGTGAGTAAAACTGTTTTTCGTCATATGAAGTATCATCCTCTAAATAAGAAAATTTAACACCAAAACAAATCACCCCAACATAAGTTAAGCCCATTCAGTTAAGCATCATGAGCGCACATCTATCTGCGTCGTCAGCCTAAGACTTTTTGAAATAAGAGACAAATCTCTATATGCTGTCAAATCTAACTGAATTTTATTGAAAGACAATACACTCTTTTCTTTATTTTTGGCAATTGACTTTCACACCATTCACATACCATAATGCATGGCACCCTCCACAATATACCGGACTGAAAAAGACAATTACATACTTGTTATCTTAATTTGGAGATTGATCTGCTTACCTTTATGGAGCACACGCGATCACCCCGGGTTTTGGTGGGGTTCCTGTTGCTCAGTCTTTTGTTTTGTATGTTGTGTTTGTGTGCTGTTGTTTGTCTTTTGTTTTGTTATTTGCCATGGCGTTGTCAGTTTATTTTCGACTTCGTGATTTGAATGTCTCTTTGGTATCTTTTGTCTCCTTAGCATTTGTGCCATATTCACAAATATACTTCCACATTGTATGTGTTCAATGTTAGAATTTTTTTCTGCTACACATTAACCAATGAAAATTTGATGCGTACTATGTGTTGGTTATTACATAATAATGTAACCGGATGATTATCTATTTATAGAACGATATTAGGGAGTGTAGAAGATTTATCTCGCCAATCCGTCAGTCATGATTACAATGTACAATTGTGCAATGTTCTTATTTGAATGAGAGTTTACATGTTTGAAACCATAAATCTATTCTATTTTTAGAAAATGAGAGACAAATCAGTGTGTTTTGGGGTATTTGTACGCGTTTTGAATTCAAAAGTTCAATCATTATATAAGAACAGGTTTTTCACTTACCAACATTTAGCGTTAGGTTGGCCTATACAGCTAATTGTATCACATGGATTTCTTATACATGGCGTTGGAAATACTCCTGGTAAACAATCACTGCCGCCTGGACATCGGAATTCTACAGGAAAAACATTTGTGATTTGCTTTTTATTTATTATTGAAATACATTCATATTAAAATGATAATAGTTTATCCCCAAGTTATAATGTATCGGATTAAATATCTAGGTTTAAATCAGGCTTCAATGAATTAAATACTGTAAATTCAGAAATAATTGCCTTAATTTGTTATTGCGATTTTTGAAGAATGAACAAAAATGCGTGACTAATTATTGCGATTTCAGAAAAATCTTAATACAGATATATCATGTATATGTATCATTTGTCAGAATGTTAGTTTTCATTATTGCAATAATCACCCAGTCGCATTATGTGTTGATAAAAACCACGTAATGATTTGTGAATTTGCAGTAGTTTTCTATTGTTTGATTATCAGAACTTTTTAACACAGACACTTTTGCATTTATATAGAACACAAAATTCCTCATGCAGGGTCTTTCCTAAGTCAGTTGTCTGTATACCGTGGTTGTCGTTAGAATATGTCTGTCATGTTTTTTGTTTTTTTGTTAGTTGTTTTGTTACTTATCAGGCCGTAGGTTTTTCTTGTTTGAATTGTTTCACATTTGCTAATATTATTTACTCACTGTAAAAGGGCGTACGATGACATATAATTTTTTACATCAACGCATTGGACTCTGGTGGGTAGTTGTCTCATTCGCAATCATTACATATCAAAGTTTGACTTTGACTGTATGTGCATGAGTTTCATTTTGAGTTTTCTTCGGAAAATTCCAATACCAAGTCAAGAATATGAAAGTTTTTTACGTACCTTCTGTTGATATAGTTGTGTATTCGATTTTGGCAGGTTTTATGAACATCCTCTTTTGGGGATTTACCTTGGAGATTGGTATTTTTATTCATACTTTTTTTACATCTTACCACACCGTTCTGTTACGTCCATTAAGGAGCCACCTCTGTTTTCATACCATAGACGACTACATGCACCTCCACAATAGTTGTTCCTTTGATAAGAAAACTAACCATATACATATAAGCATAATGTGAGTCAAATGCCTTAAATGGTCATGCATTTTAACACTTTTAACTGAAAAAAATTTTTAAAAATCGAATAACATTGCATTTTCTATCCTTATGCAAATACACTCTTAGCTGTTTTTGTAACAACCTTCAGGGTTTTTTTTTTAATTTTCAATGCTCCTCAATTGCGTACCTTATTTAGCCTTCCAACGTTATTTATTCTAGCGCCACTAACGAGTCTTATGTAACACTAAACTCCCAAACAAAAAAGTGATGATAGCTACCGATAAATTACAGACTTGGGACATATGCATTCATACTAGAACGTGGTAGGGTTACATGTTTTTTTGCATCTCTGCCCTGCCCTGTGCTCGATCCAAAGACTGTCAAGAGATACAAAAAATGTTGGATTAAAATAAGTGCAAGAAAAGAATTTACCTCTTAAGTAACGGTATAGTATTGGAAAACAAAACCACAAATACTAAAATACAAACCAGAAAAATATAAATAATATTACTCCGCCTCAATGATTTCCCATATTTATAAAAAGCAAACAGGAAGTGAATGAAATCTTTCCGGCCCATTCTTTAATATCGACCGCTGTCAAATTCAAGAGTTTACTTCAATAATCATTAAATGGACAGGACGATACGAACTTGATCAATGCCCGGAAGAAAATGTACTAAATCGCAAAGCAAAAACCAAAAATTAGTACTGCTTCGAAAATAGACTGTGAATAGGTCTATTCGAATTAAGACTAAATTTTATCTATTTATCATTTTTATATGTGCATGAGAGTTACACACTCCTATAATACGTTATGCTCGTGCATGTTCACACTATACGGACTTCATATACAGGAGTGTGCTCCTAACGCAGAAACTGCTCCAACAAAGTTATGAGGAGGACAGATTAAAAATGACACTCCGTAAATTTGACGGACACCATCACGAATTGGTTGATCCATACGATGTGTCTTTGTTCAAACTAACTAAGGACATTTTTACCACGTGTTAGATTGTGGTTTTACATTACGTCGTCTGATCTTTTAATTACCGCACGTGACTTATTCCCGATTGTGACTGTTTTGCTGAGTGTGAATTCGCATTGCTATAAGACATGTCACGGTACCTTTCTATCCAAAATTCATGTATTTAGTTTTGATGTTATATTTGTAATTCTCATCGGATTTTGTCAAATGTCTTATCGTTTGTAGTTGTAAATCTTATTTTTTCTGTTGTATTCGTGTGTTATGGTAAAGATTATTAATCACCCTGTTCGTTAATTAGATTTTAGTTTGGGTCAACTAAATTTATACGATATATTTGGTTTACAGTTTGATTTAGAAGAAACACCGACATAGCTAGATAATACTATTAATTATATTATTACTACCACATTTTATATTAATTAGTATTGTAATTTTCATTGTTATTGATAAATGTTATATGAGTATTATAAACCAAATCTTGAATTCTATCCTAATTCTATCCTATTTTGGGAAATTTCAGAAATTCACCTTTTTTTGGCTAACTCGGCTAAGAATTTTTATGTGCTGGTTTATGTTGTTTTATGTATCTGTTTTTATTCTGTAGTTAGTCACCACTTCGGTGTTATCATGTATATCTATTATATGGTCATTTTTATAAATTTACTGTTTACAAAAGTATGAATTATTCTAAATACTAAGGATTTTCTTATCCCAGACATATAACCTTAGCCGTATTTGGCACAACTTTTTGGTACTTTTGATCCTCAATGCTCTACAACTTTGTACTTGTTTTGGCTTTCGTACTTTTTTGATCTGAGCGTCACTGGTTAGTCTTGTGTGGACGAAACGCGCGTTTTGCGTATTAAATTTTAAACTTGGTACCTTTTGTTAGCTATTATTCGTATGTTTTTCTGTCCTATATGTTCTCCCATTTATTTGTATTGTAGTCCTGTCATGTAATGTTGTCATTTTAACGTTATATTTAACATTACTATAAAAGCGGGAGGTTTGGCTAGCCACAAAACCAGGTTCAACCTACCATTTCTTTCTTAAAATGTCCTGTACCAAGTCAGGAAAATGGCCATTGTTATATTATAGTTCGTTTCTGTGTGTGTTACATTTTAATGTTGTGTTTCTGTTGTGTCGTAGTTCTCCTCTTATATTTGATGTGTTTCCCTCTGTTTTAGTTTGTAACCCGGATTTGTTTTTTTTTTCAATCGATTTATGAATTTTCAACGGTATACTACTGTTGCCTTTATCTATAAACATTAAGAGCCAATCCGCCAGAAAACCATGCAATATTCAGAAAATCGTCCAAATCGACAATCACAACTTGACAAATTTTTATACATCATCTTAATCCTTGACATAAAATAAAAGAATTTGACCACTTAATTTTTCCCAGAATCGTATCTATTTTTAGTAACAGCCTCATTTGCATAATTCTGTTAATTCATAATGAAACCAAGGAAAAATCCAACTTTTTTATGCCTTTTAAGAATGACCCAGAAGCATATTAAATGGGGTAGTTGAGTCTTTAGAGTAATGTCAGCTGAAACTCATCCATTTTACTATGTTATGATCAATACAAATGAAAATTTAAACGATTTGGCACATTGCCAGGAGCAGGGAGACAAAGGCGGGGTTTTTCATACATCAATTTACGTGGTTTTCATTCGCTTCTTTCTTGCAAGACCCATTCCGGATTTGTTTGCAACTTATATCGGTTTTAACTATGGGGTATGTTTTATATCAAAAAAAAATATTAAGCTTGGCAAATGACTATTATATGTTAATTTATGCCTTGGAAGAATGGTGATTTTAGTCCCAAATTGACACATTTTGATTTTGATTTTAATTAAATTCTAAACACAATTGGTACTAAAATGGCTCATAAAATCATTCGAACAAGTAAAATCAGTTTGTTTGAAAAATGAAATAAGACGTATTTGTACTGCAAGTCCAAAAATCAATAAATTGTCTGAAACCAGGGAGTCCATCTTTTATGCTCTTCCATTGACTTATCTCCCTTGGGTAAGATCTCAAACATGTCAGCTCCCAGTGATGGTTTGGCAGACAAATGTTTACAGTGAAGTTTGTGACTTTAATAATCTAGGATGAGCATGTGGGCTATCCCAGCCTTATACATCTACATATTACAAACTATTTAAGATATCTGAATGCACTAAAGACCAAAATAGCATTTCCAAAAAAAAAATAATTACTGGCAATACTGCCAAGAAATTTGACAATCATGATAATAATTTAGTGAATAAACATGATAAATATTGATTGGAAAAATAAGTCCATGAACAGCAAAAAGTGTTTTTAGATTTCAACGAGCAAAACAAAAGTATTCTAAATCATTCTTCGTAAAAAAAAAGTGAGTGAGTGGAACCACCTTGCTCGCACCAAAATTGAGATTGAGAGTGTCAAAACTGCTCTGGCGCACCATCAATAAATCAACGACACTCTCTCTACCATGGTATTGAAACCAGCATTGGTAACCAAACATATTCATACAGATACAGACTACCATTCATCTACATTTAGGAAGTCTGAATAATACTGAAAACTATGGTGTAGAATTTCCAACAGGACTCCTTATTTTATATAAGACAAGGAGTGGTTTATTTTCCTATGGTTGTTACATCATCTTGTCTTTGAATATGCTCGAAGTACAGGGACTTTTATGGAATTCATTGACATGATAGTCAAGCAAGATGTCAACATCTCGTCCAACCCTCTTCCAGCAAAGCCAAAGCTGACCAAGGATCTTCACCCTTTCAAAACAGGCTGTATACAGGACGAGTTATTCCAGTAGGAACAGGTACAAATCTTACAATCAATTTTCATTTGTTCCATATAGTTAATCCTAAATTAGGGGACCAACAATTGATACATTAGCTACATTAAAAAAAGGGGGGTGGGTGGGTGTTGAAGGGCCATTTGAATATTCTTTTACACCTGACCTGTTTCTAAGACATCTTATTTATTTCCTATGGCAAAGTGCAAGCAAATAATATATATCCGTATATACATTGTTCTGTCTTGAGACCATTTGATTAAAAAAGCAAGGGGCAGGGTTAGAATGGTCAAAATATTTATGACCTTGTCAGCTTAGAACAGAATTTTAATTTTCAAGCTATTAACCAGGGTACAATATATATTTATTTTCTGCTTTAAAAAATCAATTTATAGACCAGAATCATGATAATAATCAAAATCTATTTCAACATATTCAACGTTTAGCAGGTCAGGTTTTTATTCTCTTCCCCTAAGTTATATTTTCAGTTCTTACTGGAAGTTGTTCAGCTCTTTGTCTACTAAAAAAACTTTTATTTCGTGGAAAAGCCTCCTACAAATACATGTTTTACATACAACATACTGTACATGTAACACTAGACAACTTTATCCAGAGAATAATATTTTTTTAATGAACTAATAGGCCATGGAGACTAAAAAAATCAAAAGCATTGCAAACTTTTGTAAAGTTCAATTTTAGGACCCTACATGTACATGTATGTAGATTACTTATAGAGCCCTTTTTAAAAGAAAAAACATACATTTAAACTACATGCACAGTGATGCTACATTAGTACACTACCCTACATTTCCTGTCTGATATATTTTATTTCATGTAAAACAAAATTGAAGAATTATTTTATAGTTTAACACTTTTTATTTGTAGGGCTATATATATGCAAGCAATGCTCAATTAAGATGAATTTTTGTAAAAGTGACAATAGCCAGGTCAAACTAAATACATGTGTAGAAGAAGATATTGGTAAGTTATTATTAACTTATACATTAATTTAACAGTTTGTATAACATGGTAATTATACAAAGTATATGTAATCACTTATATAATAACATAATTATACAATTACATGTTATACATTTGTACATCAGTTTTATTAAACAGGTCTTTATTAACTTGCTAATTTTAATTTGTAATTTGTAGTACTATATTGGGCGGCTCCTATAGTTTCCATTCAATAACTAACAATGACTAATGAACTGTTCATACATTCCATTTCAATTTTTTTATTTATTAATACGTATTACTTTTACTGTTAAGTCTGTTTTTTGTGATATCCATTTTATGTGACTCTGTATTTATGTATCCCGTCATACTTTGAACGACAAAATTATTTTATGTCTACCTGTACGAATTTCAAACGCGCGATTTTACGCCAGTACTTAAAACCTTCCATCCTTTATGGGTGGATTTTACATAGATATATAAAATCGTATAATATAAGCAAAATGAGGATGTTAAATTTGATGTATGCCTTTTTGTGCTTCTTCGTTACATTTGTTTGTTTTTAGAGTGATTAAGATGATAACACAATGTTGACTGCTGTACCCCTATTTTTGACAATTTTACCTATTGTGTCTGTTTGTTTTGTTAACGCATCGTTGTCAATATAATGGAATTTGATGCGACTGTCATACAAGTGAGAGGTTTATTATCTAGCCATAAAACCAGGTTCAATCCACCATTTTCTACATAAGAAAATGCCTGTACCAAGTCAGGAATATGACAGTTGTTATCCATTTGTTTGATGTGTTTGAACTTTTGATTTTGCCATTTGATTGGGGACTTTCCTTTTTGAATTTTCCTCGGAGTTCAGTATTTTTGTGATTTTACTTTTTCAAATATAAAAGGGGGAGATTTTTATTGGTACTTTTGAAGATATTTCACCGGTTCGATTAATTGATTGGTTGTTGGTAATGCTAATGTCCAATGGCAAATAGTTCATGCATGTTTATGACAAGAACAAATTTTAAAAAATACATTATTCGGGTTCTTAATATGCTAAATCTAACAATGTATTTAAATAATTTAAGATGTTGCAATTGGGCCCCATTTTAAATTGGTTCACATTGATTTCAAAATGGTCCAAATTTTTTTTTCTTATTTCTACACAACTTGAATTCTTGAGGTTCTTTTGATATACAAAATGCAAATGTTTTATATTTAGATTTTTAATTTTGGTCCGGTTTTCTAATATGTCCACATTTCAAAGTCCAAAGGGTCCAAATTTTAACTTAGTTTAATTTTAACAAAACTTGAACTCTAATTACGATGAATTAGGGTTCTTTGAATGATAAATAGAAATAATCAAATATCCTGAATATAAATATGTACTTAGATTTATGATTTTGGTCCCAGTTTTCAAGTTGGTTCAAATGGGGTCCATAATTTAACTGTGTTTGATTTCAACAATAATTTTAAAGATGCTGATTCAGCCTGAATCTAACCTGTATTTAGTTTTTGGGCCCTATTATGAAATTGGTTTACATTGAGGTCCAAAGGGTCCAAAATTAAACTAAATTTTAAATCTTAATTTGATCTTGGGGTTCTCTGATATGCTGAATCTATTAAACTTTATCTTTATACCATATTTATTCTGTGTTAGAAACCTATTCTTTGTCAAATATTTAATCCCATTACAAATTTAGAGCTGTTATAGCTTGAATGTTCTGTCCAAACTTGCATTTTTTCTTCATCTTCCACAAAATTTGTCCTTTCCTGAGATAACTGGTGTTATCTTTTTAAATGAAACTTTAGTGAAAAGAAAAGCACAATATGTGTATGATTATCCGATGTCAAACATTTTCAAGATGGCCACCAAGGATGGCACAAATTTCAACACTGGTTAATTTAATGAAAATTGTTAATTAGGGATAGTCGTGGTAGTTTGACTTGCTAAACAAAGTAAGGTTGTTTTTTCTTCCAAAATGGCAAACATTTTCAAGATGGCCTTATATGAAAATTGACATTAAGGAATTATAGCACTTTTGACACGCCAACAAAACAATCAAATTATTTTTTAAAGATGGACACAGCAAATAAAAGGGTAAAATTTTCAATTTTATTGAGTTTGATTTTAAAGAATATTGATATTTAGCTGTACTTTGACACAGAGAACAGATATAAAGATGGCCACCATTTCAAAGATTGTCACTAAAAGCGGTCAAATTATCACCATTGTCTGTTTTCAATGAAAAATTATATTGAGAGGTAATTTGACATGCCAAACCAAATGGAGGCAATTTTTATTGTTGTAAAGATGTTAAGGGCTATTTGGACATGCTTAAAAGGAGTGGATAATAAATATTCTGCAAAAATGATTTGGCTTTAGTTGGGAGAATTTTGTAACTGCATCCACTTACAGTAAAAGTTGTCAATTTTATTTCCTGTCAGTGGTATATATGAAATTTAAAAAAAATGTTGTATGATTGCCAATGAGAACAAATGACATAGAAGTAAAGCTATAGGTCTTCATACGCCATATGGCCTTCAACAATGAGCAAGACCTATACTGCATATATATTCAGCCATAAAAGGCCCCAAAATAAGAAAATGAAAAAATATGAAAACTAACAGCCTGATTTATGTATGTATGTTTTGTGGTTTTCAGATCTAGACTCGCAGCTAACCTTTCTGACAGTGTCAACAACAACTGAACTTTCACAGCAGTCAACATCAGATTGGGAGACTGATAATGCTTCTAACAGAAACAATTTCAACCAACCAAACAAGCAACAGAAACTTTCCAACTTTAAACATCAGTTAAATCTTCCATGGGATGATGTCTCAAAAAATAACAGTTCATCATTTATGGAGATTTTAATGTTATGGTTTTTCTTTTACAAGAAAGTTAATGTACACTTGTTTTATAGTAAAACCTATAGCCGTTCAAGTATAAAAAAACACATTCAACTTTATTGAAATTTGAAGATTCATATGACTTATTTTAATTCTGTTATCTCCGAGGATGTGATGTAGAGCATTATAGGTACAGTAATCTTAACAGCTATCCAATTTCATTCAAAATTCTTTATAAACTTTGCACTGGTATATATAGACTAAGTAATTTGTTTTTCGTCTAGTTATGGGATTTTTTTTTAGAAGCATTTATGATTTTCATGTTTGTATTGACCACATTGCAGCAACATAGATATAGGTACCTGGTAAATCTTGCCTTGTTAGCATACTAGGCTCAAAGGGTTATAAAAAGATTTCCATCACTAAGTGTCTGTTAAAATCATCTGTTTACAGTTTTCACTTTTAAACCATCATCTTAATAACTTTAGAAGAAGTGTCGTACATATATATATGTATACAAAATTTTAAAACTTTTCAATATATATATATATATATTGATAAATCTATCAACATGACAAGATCTAAATACCCAAAATTTTTCTGAAAAATTGGACATAACATCTATGAGCTATTGTCCCTGAAATGTGTAAATTTACAAATTTTCACAGTTTTCTGCTACTATCCGACAACTATATCAATATATTATAAGAATAAATTGCAAAAGTGGTCAGAAGAAACTTTTTTTTACAGTCTGAACTTATTCTGAATTGTTTAACTTCTAATTTAAATTGATTGCGTTTGAAATATGTGTTTTTTATCGTTTTAGGTGCACAATTTGTCAATACGATCTATTTCGGCTCCTGGGAGCCTCTAGATTTATAATGAATAATTTGTATTTATGTATGATTATTTTCTTAATGTATTAAATGAAACATTAATTATTCTTTTCCATTTGTTGTTATACTTATTTATAAGTCTAGATCCTATCATATGTCAGTAGTTACAAAATTAGACGGCAAAATTGAGAAAATTTGAATATGCAGGTTACCCCATTTTGTTGTGGCATATACCAGACACCAACATTATTTGCCGAGCTTGATATTTTTTTTGATTGGGTATATATAGTTATACTTTGCAAGTAGATATGTTGTTTTACAATAATAAACGGGTCTTGGAGTATTTTGGCTCTGAAAGATGACCAAAATCAGCCATTTTGGACATGTAGCTAAATAAGACATATTGAAACAGTTAGATTATACATACACTTAATAGACAGCATTGTTAATTCTATGCATTCTTACACTTAAAGTGATGTATTACTAGGAACAACTATCAAAAAATTATAAATGTTACCATATTTTTTTATTTAAACCAGCGAAATATGCCAAAAAAGGCTTATTTTTGCTGTTTTCGAGCAATTTCATCTGTTAAAACATGGAGCTCAAAAAATATCCAGATCGGTTCAATATTTTCCCCAAAAAATTTGTGTGGTTATTTACATTACTAAGGTGCACCAATATGCCAAATTTGAACTCATTTGGAAAAAGTGACATTCGGACGGTTTTGCGTGGTTTTCTGGCAGATTGGCTCTTAAATAATACAATACAATTTTTTATTTGATTTATGTTTTTAAGTACCATAGAATTACACTTTTCTATCCGGAGGACAAAGTCCACTTTTAATTTTGTTCTGAAAATACAATATACCAAGGGAAAAATTACCTACATACAGCTCCCTCACACTGGTGTCCTTGACACGGGGTTTTTGTACACCGAAAAAGATCCACTCCTTCCGGACATACTCTGCAACCTGAAATAATTTACTAATGGTAATAAAGATTTCTTTAAGCATTACGTTAATATCATTTATAAAAGAGATATTTCCATCATTTTCATTCATTAAAGATATCCCCCAGTTTTATGTTGAGAAACAGATTAGTGCATTAATTTGTATCGAAAAGATTACAGAACGTTTCATTGATGAAGAATGCGGAAAAATCGCATATGACCAAAAAGCTTGAACACATGATCTGTATTTCTATCAAATTGGTGTCAGCTTACCTTATTAATGTTCGAACGAGAACGGAGAAAGATACCTTACAAAATAGGTCAGAAATGAATTAAAACAATGTGGCATGATATCAAAGACCATAGACAGATGTTGGGGAATAGTACTATTATAGCAATTTCAGTCCAATTAAAAGCGGTAATGATATTAAGGAAACTTTAAAGTTTCTATTGAGGTAGTATGGGTGTCTCACGCCATATTGGATTTTAAAGATGCAGAACACAATGAATCTAGATTATTTATAAAGTCAGAAAATTTCGATGCAGAAATCCAATTTACTTTTTATAAAATGAACTAACGTTATTGATCATAACTTATAATCAACCATATGTTTACGAAAGTAGAATATATTTGTTTGATTTCAAATTTTTAAAACTTTGCGTATAAAGGGGAGGTAACTCATAAAGTAATCTTCAGGAAATTTTTGTATTTTTTGTTATAGCCGGAAAAAACGTACGGTGACCTCGTTTTTTGTTTTGATATTCTGAAAGCATATTACAAGAACTATCTTCTCATAATTTATTTCGATTCTATCATTAAGTTTATCTTCCATTCAGATCAAGATGACTTTTTTTCTGAATAACTCATCAAAAAGGTTAAATTATGTTGCAACCTGTAGCTTGAAAATAAAGCTCGGTGATCTATTTTTCCAGCATATTTTTGAACTTTTCTCATTATATAATACATGTTGTCAAAGTATTCAACATTTTTCGTTTATTCTCTAATACCACCTTTAGAGACATTTATTGTCGAAATGGGCATTTAGTCCAATAACATTTGAACCATTTATTGTTATTCCTTCTTTTTTATTGTTATTCCTACTTTTTCATCGATTGCACTGCATTTGAAATATTAATCCAAGAAGTCATCACCAGCTCAGTTGCTTAAGACCTCGACATTGGCATACAAATAATGTAACTGTTGAATTGAAATTTAATGTTATAGCATTACAGAAATTGTTTTGAAATGAAGCAGCGTTTCTCCCTCATTAGAAGCTGTGGTCCCATGTCCGGTATTTGGCTATTTCTTTTGTCCATTGTCCTGTTTTTGTTATAGTTTTTGTTCCTTGTCCGGTTTTGGCTATTATTTTTGTACCTTGTCCGGTTTTGTCTATTATCATTGTTCCTTGTCCGGTTTTGGCCTTTTTTTTTGTTCCTTGTCCAATCATGGCTAATATTTTGTCTCTTAGCCGTTTTTTGCTGTTATCTTATGTGTCTTTTGTCCGGTTATGGCTATTGTTTTTGTCCTTTTGGTAATGTTAGCCCTTCAACGTTTGTATACGGTTAGTATTTTAATTTATTTGATTTTATCCTCCACATCTCGTTTCTTGTTAATAGTAGTCTCATCGGCAAACATACAACTCATTCTTATTTTGACATGACTTACCTTCTGCAATATGAAGTAGCGAGATAACAAACAAGGCAATTGTAAGACACCACATATTTCAATATTTTATAATATTATGACAAAGCGTACATATATATGAATGTTTATATACTACATACGTGATATTTGTGTACGTGACCAAATAACTCATATTTAATGTAAAACACATGTTGTGACAAAATGAATTTAAACAGGAAAACAATTTTTCATACAATTTAAGTAATGTCGGCGTTGTTTTATTCCAAGGTCATATTGTTTCTATGAAACTTTAACTGGTACATTGAGATCCATACCTACACATGAACTTGTTTAGATCACGTAGTTTTCAAAATAAACATATTGAATCAAACAAATTTTCATTCAGTTTTTGTTGCTTCGGTGTTGTTTTATTCCAAGGTTATACAATTTTCTTTACATCTTTTCCTGGTACAAATATGATAAGACATTTAAATGATGTTGTTATTATTTGGACTAATATTGTGAAAATAATTGTGAATTTATGGATCTCTTTCCATATAATTGTATGAATTTTAAGATTATAAATATATACGTCACTTTTTGTTGTGTAGATCCATTCATGTGACGCAGTTTGTGGTGTTCGTTGTTATTCTGTGGTTTACATGTTGAAATGTACTATTTTATCATTTATTTATGCATTTCTCTGTGCTGAGTGTTCTTGCGTTTGTTTGTACTGTATTCCTGTCATGTAGTGTTGTCATTTTAGCGATATATTTTTAAACATTGCCATATAAGCGGGAGGTTTGGCTAGCCATAAACCAGGGTTCACCCACCATGTTTCTTAAAATGCCCTGTACCAAGTTATGAATATGGGAGTTGTTATCAAATAGTCCGTTTCTATGTATGTTGGCGTTAGTTTTTGTTGCATTTCAGTGTTTCTATTGTTCTGTTGTTTTCCTCTTATATTTGATGTGTATCCCTTGGTTTTAGTTTGTAACCAGGATTTGTTTTCTCTTAACCGATTTATGACTTTTGAACAGCGGTACACTACTGTTGCCTTTATTAGATCACTTAGTTTTCAAAAGTTATCAAATAAAACACCAATGACCAACATCTAAAGGGTTCATTTTGCATAACGTTTGTCCACGGACAGTTTTTGGGAGAGCAAATGAAGAATAACCACATTGGGAGTAATACAGTACAAACTCACCAAAGATACCGGTTTATGAAGAATTACTCCGGATGCAGGTATCTTCTTTAAAATAAAAAATTATTATACGAAAAATGATCGTATCAAAGATATTCCATGTGAGTTCAGGGGTGTTGCTGAAGTTGCTGAACTTTGCTTAGAGCAGCTTATATCTCAGATTTCTGTGAGGAACATAAATTCCCAACGATGGCGCAATGAAGTAGTTTCTTTTTAAATTGTATGCGGGTTCTGCCAGTTCAGTATTGCTCAGAACTTTTCTTAGTTTTTTTTCTTTTTATTCAGTACTTCTTCTATCTATTACAGTTTGCCGTGTTATGTATCAATTAAAGAATAATATCAATCATCTTTACATCTACCCTACGATTGGTGTATTTAGTTTTACAAATTCTTTTAGAGAACCACTAAATGACCAAAAAGATGTCATAATGCTCAATATGCACGATATAAGAGTACAAAAGTAAGCTTAGGGCGAAGAATTTATCATCGTTTTAAAAAGTATTTAGAAAAATACGAAACTGCAAATCCAATTCAAAAAGCGGGAAATCGATAAAACCGGATAAAATCAAACACTCAGCTATATCAACCAACGGAACAAGTGGAACACAGCCGTCATATTTCTGATTTAGAAGAGGCGTTTTGAGAATGGTTGGTTCAACTGGGTTTTATATATAGCTGAACCTCCCATTTGTATGATAGTTCGTTAATTTGACCAAATTGGGCGAGCAACTGAAACAAAAATAATTGGTTAACGTGACAATCATGACAATATTTGGAATCCAACATCCAAAACGGTGTTAACATACATCACAGACAAGCAATACAACTGACTTAAAGATTCTAAAAAACATACAAATAAATCTGACAAAGACGTGAACACAACAAATGTTTTGCAGTTGATAGTCAATACAGTACAGTATATACTTTCCCGATAAAGTAAACTTTCAGAGATGAAGTATGAAAATAGAATAAATCTCATATGTATAACGATTTAAGTCATGTGTAGGAAATCTCAAATATATAACGTTAAAAGTCATGTATATGGAATCTCAAATACATAACCCTTAGTCATGTATAAAATTTTAAAATATAAAATGAATAAAGTCATGTAAAATTTCAAACAAGCTGAGACTGGATGTCAGTTAATAGAGAATCCACGTTTTGTTGTATTTTATCCTTCCGACGCACATGTGATTATCTTCTGGTTTTATTGTGGGATTCGTATGCTCGGTGTTTGGTTGTTTACGTCGTGCTTTTTTATCCTGTTGTTTGTCTGTTGATGTTTTTTTCTTCGGTTTTTGCCATTGCATTGTCAGTTGATTTTACTATTGAGTTTGAATGTCCGTTTGATAGATTTCGCCTCTGTTTTATAGTAACCATTTGGATTGTAAATGTAGTTAACAGATCATGGTACATCTTTTTTAAGTTTCTAAATGTTTGCGACAGGAACATACGATACGGATATAAAGCAGACATCTCTATGACCAAAAGAGGAAATTACAAATTTAACAAATCACGAAACACTATTCATAAGATAATACTCACATATTTGATAAAAATATCGACAGTTTTGCATATTGCATATCAACTATCATATTATCTTGATAACTACTATTTGGTCGATTTCTACTTTGGTGGACTTTTAGTACCAAACTGTTTCAATAGCCATTTAGTTTGGAACTGAACAAATGGTACTGGTATGCCAATACGTATATTGTTTTATTGGGAGTTTGAAACACGTGAAATCGTTTGAAAATAAGGAATAATTTTCTCTCTCATGTATAGCTCGGAATCGTTGTCAGACTGTGTCACTATATTGGGTCTCTTGATTATATCAGCCCGTTAATGTTTCTATAAAGTGTGATTCTCGCTCATGCATAGCTCTGAATCCTTGTTAGACTTTGGTACTACATTTGGTCCTTTTTGAATATATAAACGCGTCAACGTTTCTATAATATTTTAGTTTTTGAATAGGTGAGCTTCGATCATCACAGAAAAGTTGTTAATTGTCGAGATGAGCAAATGGTGCAGTGAAACTATTTTGATTTGTAAAAAAAAGGTTGTTTTGACAGAATCAAAATAACTTTACAAGTTGTGGCTCAATGTCCACAGCTTTTGTTAAATCACCTTGGTTTTGGTTTTGCTTATTATTTTGAAACTGGATTGTTTCTAACAGTCAAACAAAAGGTGACAATTATCTGTAACGCTAATTGTTGGATCTGTTAAAGAAACTCGTAAAGAATATAGAGTGTCTATGTCTTGAAGACCTCCCAATTAATGGTTACGTACTGAATATTTAAATGGGGGTCGCAGCTTATAGATAAGATTAGATAAATGTCTGAGCTTAATTGTTAAAAAAAACATTTTTTTTCATTTTTTCAAGCCATAGCTCAGGTCAAGGTGAACATACAAACCTAGTTCTAACAGGAGATCTACTTGATACATAATACCATACATGATCCTGACCCACTAATAGTAACCGAAAAAATGTCCCGTTAACGGATCTCACCATCGATGGAAAGTGTGGATAGTGAATAGTGCCGTAGCATTTAGTTGGTATTTGGCTTGTGAATGAAAGGTGTGGAATAAGATAAAATATATCTTGTACTATAAGGTAGGTTGTGTCATATAGTTAATTTTACAATGTTTCAATATTTTTATACACGATGCTCAGTTAATGTGATTCAAAAAAGAGGAGAAAGATAACAAACTGACATCATCAAAGCCATGACAAAAGACAAAAAAAAAAAAAGACGAAAAGACAAACAGCAGTCGTCTTTAAAACAAAACAAAGAAAACTAAAGACCGAGCAAAACAAACGCCACCACAAAATGCTAAAATTTGGTGGTAATCTCTAATTTTGAATATGACACGCATTAAAATAATTATAATAATAATAATTATAATAATAATAATAAAATAATGATAATAATGATAATGATAACAGTGATATGATAAAAATATTAATCAGTTACAACCAGCTTCGTGAACAATCAGTCTGTCTAAATGCTTCCACCTCTAAGACAATATAAATTATGGGTTGTTAATTTTACCTCTCATGTTAGATCGTTTTGTTAATTTCATGACATTAAATATGTTTCAGGTTTATGACTTTCCCAAATGTTTGGTGTTGTAGAAAGTTGTATCAAGTGACATTGTCACTGAAATGAGACACATAGGTTATAATGGAAAAGCAAAAGGATATGGGGTATCCATCCAAGACACAAAATCAGTACATGCACAGCAAAAAAAAAAAAAAAAAAAAAAATCACACAATTAGCAAAGGAACAGCGCTGTTCGTCATCTCAAAGTCACAGTGAGGCCTTCAACAATGAGCAAAAAAAAAAAACTTTCACCTCATTGCAAGTTTAAGACGGCCCCTAGCACCGGCTTCAGCGAAATTCTTTGCGAAAAAAAAATTAGATAGACTTTGTAAGATGTAACACCACATTATCGGGTCTGGTAAAAAAAGAACATACTGGAAAGTAATACATATTTAAAACGAGCGGAATTCTATGCACAAACAAATTGGGAATAGGTTTTATAAGATGGAACACCTCATAATCGGGCCTGGTAAAAAAAAGCATACTCGAAAGTAGTACATATTTTAAACAAAAAAGTTTATATGCATAGGTGTAAATCTAAAAATATGTAGCATATATTTTAGTTATTAAGGTATCAGATGAATGGTGAAGGACTGGTTATCCTTGTAGAGCACATAATTACTGATAGTTTTAAATTATTCAAAAATGTATGTATGAATTCTAAAATTGAGGGCATATATTGCCTGTTTCTCAGATATTAAGTGCCTGGTTTGGTTTATACAAATTCCGGTAAACAGTGCAGTACGGTTTGATGTATAAATACAGGTATATTGATCCCGCTTCCATGAAATGTTTTTAAGT